TGCAACGAGGCACTCACTATTTTTCTCTGCTGCTGACACAGAGACCAGAGACGTCTCAACCTCTATTACTGACCTTGCAGATATTGCCTATATTCTTGTCATAATTTTATCTGAATCCATTCAGGGAATAGACTATCAGAGAGGTGCATTGCACATACTCTTTTGTGGCTTTAAAAAGCCTTTTTCCCCCCTCCCACTGTAAGAGAACACACTGCCTGCACAGGGACTTCCCAGCTGCAGGTAATTACAAATTCAGATTTTTCCTTAAGTTCGAGAATACCACATTGTATTGCTCAGAAATCTGTTTAGAAAACATCACATCCTAAAGCTGATTTACAGGTCAGCTGTTTCAGTGAAGTAACACTAGAGCATAGGTAAATTTTAACTTTCCCAGCCTGGTTTTACTAGCAGCCTTGGAATTTATGCCTAAATATATTTCAGAAACTCCAGTTCATTCTCAGTCAAGCCGGGTCAGTGTATGCAAGAACATAGCGTTGTTATTTCCTGCCTCCCACTTTCCTGATCTATACTATAAATAGTCCAAATAAGAATATGTTTTCAAAACACTAGTGCTCAAGCCTTAATCCATGTTAGCTTAGTAGAGAGGCATAAAATAATACCTCCACGTTCCCACCTCAGACCTTTACTTGGTTAAGACTTAATCAGTGGAAATAATATCCCCTCCCAACCTTAATTTTGCGCTCCATTGGTCTTTAACGAAAAAAGACAGCTCAGATGACCGACTGACATCATTATTCATGAAATCATAACCATCCTTTTGGCTGACATTTGGGAACAGCAAGTACCCTAGAGGAAAACACCCATTTGTTGCAGTCTGACACGTTGTAGAACAGGATTAGTAGGATTTCCACCAGCCAAATCCTACCTGGGAAACTTGAGGGAGCCCACCACAGTCAGCCATCTGAAACGTGGACGAGAACAGTCAGTTAGTGTAATGCCAGAGGAACTCATTTATGCTCAGGATATATTAAAATGACCTTTTTAGCTATCTGGCAGAAAACCATTTCCTTTTGTTGCGTGAGTAACATATGCATAGATGAAGGCATCAAAGTGAGCAGTTAAATATTTATAAAAGCCACCACCGCACCCCAGAACACCCCAAAGTGTCTTGACCGTCAGGCAAAACATTGGCTGGAGCTAAAAATAAATGGGTTTTTGCTAGGCAGTGATTACCAATTTCTTAGAAATTAGGCTATTAGTCCTGATTAGAAGTTCAGCTCTGAATTACAATAACGTGACTCCGTATTGACCTGAATGACAAACAGGGGAGAGAGAACAAACACCTAAACCTCAGAGGTGAGAGCGAAGAACGATCTGCTGAGATTGCGGATGGCAAGCATCGGCTTGACTTGCCAAGGGAAGCAGGGAAAGCCAAATTAGAAAAGCTATCTTGAGTGCATGCAGTATTTTTGGAGCACTCCATTTTTCCTGCCACTCCACCCCTCAAAGCAAAACCCAACAAAAACAGATCTGTTCCAAGGAACACCACAAGCTGAAAACAGTTGAGTTGTGAATTACAGGAAACCCCAAACCCTATCTAGGATTAGTTAGCAGCAAAACAGTCCTGTAGCAGGACCTGGCATCAGCCATATCCCTGGACTGGGCAGAGGCTGACCACTGATAGAGGATCTGACATAGGGTCAGGCTTTTTCTTAGGGTGAGTCTGCCATTCCCATGTGGTAGGTCAGCAGAGTAACTCCTCAACATTAGGAAGGAAAAAGCTTTTTTTTTTTTTTTAAATCCTTGTTTATGATTATTTTCACTGGCCTGCTCAATACAGAGAGATACAGTAAAAGTTCCCAGTGGAAGCATGACCAAACTTGTTTCACCATTTGCATACTATTACACTCATTGCATTTTACTTCATCAGTAACGAGCTGAAGATTGCACCCATACTCTGAATGCCAAGTATCAGCCAAAGCATTTGCACAATGCTTTGTTGTTTTGAAGTGCATTTTCATAGATTTCATAGATTTCTAGGTTGGAAAAGACCTTAGAGATCATCGAGTCCAACCATCCCTAATCCCCATTAAACCATATCCTCAAGTAGATCATCCACCCTATTCTTAAACACATCCAGGGATGGGGACTCAACCACCTCCCTGGGCAGCCTATTCCAGTGGCTGACAACCCTTTCAGAGAAGAAAGTTTTATCAAGTTTTTGGAAAATAAGAGTCATTTCCAACAGTAAGATGTCCTGGACTGTGTCCACATAAAAGGCAGGATGACAAAACTGGCTGATAGATCCGTTGTCTATTCATCTGACACTGCTGTTGCGGGACAGGCAAGCATAGGAACAGAACGAGTTGGTTTGCACTTCCACTCTGCTGATGGCTTCTTTCAAACCTTTCCAAATACCTTGAGATCAACTTTGCCAGCTCTAGTCAAATTCATTATGGGTGTGTGAAATACTGAGCTTTTCAAGTCTCACCCCTAGAGTTTTAAAATGGAGGAGCTGAGAAATTCCCTGTTTTTAACCTTGACAAGAAGCCCCTAGTCTGGTATATCCCATTGAAATACTCTCACTCTGAAGGAACTGCCCTCCCACATCAGAACTGGATTCTCATTGTGTTTTCTGTACTGCAGGACAATGGAGTGATTCTGCTTTTTTAGTTAATCCAGCTGATTTTAAATGAGGGAAATGCTTGTTTTAAAAAAAACAGTTTTTCTTATTACCTTCAGAAGCGTGGTCCTTGTTGGGTCCAGCTTTGCGTTGCATTCAACCTGTATTAAAGAACAGCAGAATAAGGCATTATATGGAAGTTTTTAATTATCAACTGCTGGATGAAAACAAATTAAATATCTTGTTTCTGGCTTAATACAGACTAAATTGGGTATCTTAGGCTTCTGCACAAAGACTCTCTTTACACATATATACATCTTTAAGCCCAAGTAGGTCAGTTCACGTTTCTGAGTCTATTCTTTTCCATGTACAAATAAATCTATTAGTTGGGAATTTGAGATTTTTTTTAATCTGTTTCTAGGACTCCAGTGGCAACAAATGTTGTTTATCTTGTGATTTGGGGTCATCTGGTAGCGTCCCAAGTGGTGAGCAGCAACATGGCCACAGGCCAGCAGACTGGGCATGCCCGTTAAGGCACAACATTTGAAGTCACCCAGTCATCTGGGGAGAGTTATAATGGTCAAAAAGAAGCTCTTCGCTCCCATAGTGACCCAGGGCAGAGCTCCAACACCACAGAACAAGCTAAAATACCAGCAGCAGATTCCTCTCTAAAGGAAAATATTTGCGGTTCACTGGAACTGCTGTGGCGATTGTTCCGAACGCAGTAGCTATTAAATAATGGTGCACAGACAGAGGGGACAAACAAGCGAGGAATTAATGGCAGCTCTCCTGTGGCCTGAAAGAGGAGAGCCAGCTGGGCTGGATCGATAGCCAGCAAGGGTGCCGAGTGGCTGCGAGCTCTGCCACCCTCGCACAGCTTCCCAGCTGGCCTTGCCCGTAAGCGCGGCGGCACAGACGGCTCGGTATACGCACCACGGCGTCCACCGCCGGCGAGCTGTCACCAACCACCAGCAGGACGGGGCACCTGTAAGGAAGCACACAGAAGAGGAATTAGCTCTGTGAGCCAGCCCAGGCTTGCCCTAAGCTGCATTTTGTGTTGCTGGAAGGATCATAGAACCACAGAATGGCATAGGCTGGAAGGGACCTTAGAGATCATCTAAGGATGAGACAGTTAAGAGTGTGAAAATGAGTTGTTTTGTATTCCAGACACCTTAAATACACATCAAATCCACTGGATTAGCTGCAGATCTACTGACATGCTCCGATACCTCACCCAAGAACCTGTCCTTTTCCCTACCTCACAGCAATCAGCCCCTCCCAGTGCTCTTATTCCTTGTTTTATAAGAGATTGAATGTGGGTATCAGCATTGAACTCTCACTCCCACCCCCTCAGGCCCCTGAGCTCCAACTTTTGGACCTGTCCATCCAATTTCAACCAGATTGGCAGAGGAGCAGTCTCAAAGTCTCCTGTGTGTAAACATCAGCAGCTGTTCAGAGAAAGACTTGACAACGGTTACGTTGCACAAGTTGCAGCATAAGTGAAAAGCTGTTATCAGAAGATCTGGCAGATAGTTATCCTCACACCTGCTCCATCTTCCTGAACGTTTTTTGTTTGTGTTTTTTTTTCTTTAATGGTTTTGTGTTGAGTTTTTTTGGTTGCATAGGCACGGCTCAAGTGCATTCAGAGCTGTAGTTCCAATTAACTACAACATATTTCTGGATGAAGTTAAGTACATCTACTTTTCAAGTACTTACTCTGTAAGCCCCAGTTTGCAGATACACAGTGACAGGAACTACTTAACTTTCCATTTCAGCTGAAATGATTGTGAAGTTTGAAGAGAGGAAGTCTTCCTAATGGCTTTCCCTGACTTGCAGCAACCTCTTGTCTCTGACAAGATCCTTTTCTAGCACATAAACACATTCAGCTACAGCTCTGCAACGCACGCACTGATCATACCTCTTAGCTCGCATCATGCACAGGTGAACTGGTAGGAAATGAAATACTTACTGAAGGGTGACAACATTTATTCCAGGAACAGGGCGCTCAATCTCTAGGTCTCGTCGACTGAAAAAAATGGAGAGGACAAAGGCTCTTGATACGCTGAAATTTTACAGATACTTCCATATTCTTCTAGTTTAGAGAAAGCACAGACATTCACATATGTTAATCTAATCTGATACATGTTGTAGGCTCCACAACTGATGAAGAACC